AAAGGTCGTGTAATTATTAGAAACGAAAAAATATATACTTGTGGAGTTGAGCAACAGGGGGATGGGAGGAACGAGGATGAGCAGCGACAGCTAGGGACCGGGAAGGGTAGTGGACAATGGCTTGGCTTGGCTTGGCTTGCTGGCTGGCTGGCTGGTTAGAGAGGAGCGGAGGGGATCGGGCTATTAGGCTACTGGCAGTAAATTTTACTACTGCTAAACATTTTTTATGTTTTGCTTTTCAAGTTTGGGATAAATTTGGGAATCATGGTTCCTGAAAACCTACCAATCATCATTCCTCCCTTTGCTGTTTTTTCTTTTGATGGAGAGCTGAAAACCTCCCAATCTATGCGGGTACAGCCTACAGAGTTTTGATGAATCTTTCCAAAAATCTCATACCCACGTGGCCATACCCTGTTGCCAAAACTTAGGGCCTGTTTGGAACTTGAATTTTTTGGAAGTTTGTCTAAAACTTTACTGTAGTGCACTGTAGAAGTTTTTGTAAGGTGAAAAACTTTTTTGTAGAAGTTTTTGAAATGTTACTGTAGACGTTTTTTGAATTATTTTTAGAGGTATTTTTAAAACATATTTTTGAGTATTTTATAATTTTTATATTCTTAAACATTTATGCATTTATAATACATTTATAATATTTAGAAATAAATATATTTATATAAAAATATATAAATGTATTATATTATATATAATAGGTAATATACATATATTTATAAATGTATAAATATATAATTAATATAAATGTATAAATTATAAATGAATATTATATAAATGTATAAATTATAATTTATAATTTATATAATATTCATTTATAATTTATACATTATATTAATTATGATATATGTATAAATGTATAATTAATATTGTTTATAATTTATAATTTTTATTGTTTAAATATTTATATGCATTTATGCATTTATAATACATTTATAAATATTTATAAATAAATATATTTATATATTTATATAAAAATATATAAATGTATTATATTATATATAATACATAATATACATATATTTATAAATGTATAATTAATATAAATGTATATATTATAAATGAATATTATATAAATGTATAAATTATAATTTATAAATATATATGATGATTATATATAACTGTATTAATATAATTAATATAAATGTATAAATGTATTAATATTATGTATAAATGTATAATGAATATTGTTTATAATTTATAATTTTTATTGTTTAAATATTTATATATATTTATGCATTTATAATACATTTATAAATAAATATATTTATATAGTTATATAAAAATATATAAATGTATTATATTATATATAATACATAGTATAAATATATTTACAAATGTAATAATTGTATATTATTATAAATGAATATTATATAAATATATAAATTAATATATTATAAATATATAATATTATGTATAAATGTATTAATATAATTAATATAAATGTATAAATGTATTAGTATTATGTATAAATGTATAATTAATATTGTGTGTTAATATTATGTATAAATGTATTATGTTATACATAATACATAATATAATTGTATATAAATATACATAAATATATATACATAAATGTGTAATATATATAATATGTATTATATATATTAAATATATAATATATAATATTTATATAAATGTATAATTACATATTTATGTTAATATTAATTTATATGGTATATAATATTTATATAAATATATAAAAATATATTTTAAATAAAATAAAATATTTATAATATGTTTAAATAAAATGAAATATTTATAATATGTTTAAATAAATATATAAATATATAATATATATAATAAATTTTTGAGGGTGAGGGACTCAAAAATTCAAAAAAAAATTTTGAGGTTACCGGCAGCGCCGGAATAGGTGATCGGCGCTGGGAGAGGTGGTGGAGGTGATGTCTGGTGTGGTGGGTTGGGTGAGGGAGGAAAAAAAGTTTTTGAGAAATTTTTTGTGTATAGATTTTTGAAGTGTGTAGGTAAAAAACTTTGAAAAGTTTTTTAAGATTCCTGTAGCAAAAGTTGTTAAAAAACTAGTAGCTAAAAAACTTGGTAAAAAACTAGGATGCCAAATAGGCCCTTAATTTCCATGCCTTTTGCTTGACTAGTGGTTAATTGATTCAAATCTCAACCCCTCTATATTTTGTTTTCCTGGAGTCCTCAACAACAACAACAACAACAACTGCTACTACTACTACTAGTTTTATTCACAATCACTAATGTTTAAGGCACACTTGTTGCCTGCACAACTAACAAAAAAATTATATAAAATTTTTTAAATATTTGTTAAAGTCATTCTTATGAGGCAATTTTATATTTTTTGTAATACCTACGGTGAAAAATTCACGAAAATAAACTATGCGAAATGTAAATAGATAGTTGTTTGATAGTGGGTAGTAATCAAAAAAAGAGAAAGAGGGAGCTAGTGGATAGTTAGTTATAAAAAGTACTAATTTAGAAATATCACAAAGTGACAGATTTTAGTTTACACAAAAAAAAACCTCCTCTTTTTTGTATATGGTACATAGATAATTATTACTGTTTTTATAAACACTCTAACTTACCAATATGTTCAAATGCCATAGTTATAAAACTTGACCTGCCTCAACAGTTAAACTGGTCAACTCGGTGAACGGATCATAGGATCGATTTGGATTGTTAATCAAACCTATTGACCCGTCAATGATCCGACGTTTCAATTGGTCAATCGAAAAAAAAAATCGTCAATTAAGTTGCCGACTAACCACCAATACAAAAATTATGTTGTATTTATAATTTAAAATATATTATAATATTACATAATATAACTATTATGCAACCCAGAGCTCGACCACCTTTCGGATTGAGCTCTTAACGGGGTTTAATAACTATGGTCCTAAGTCAATCTATTTGAAAATGCTATAGTAATTGAGCATTCTTTTTCCTTCTATTTTTTGAAACTTACAAAAAGAAAAATGGAAGTATCATCGCTCAATTTATATTTGCAAGGTAAAGTCAAGGTCATGACAGCAGGGAACATTCATTCGGACTGGACCAAAATATCTGTTTTCATCTTCTTTTAGCGTCCATTTAGTAACAACGTGGAGAAGAATTTGCGTCGGGAATGTGAAGAACTCGGAATCAAAGCTATGCATGTTTGTGGTCCATAGCAAAAGATATCACATAATGGAATAAACGTTGACACATGCCCGACCACCTAAGAAAAGCCCATTCTCTAAATTTGGCCCATTTTTTGCAAATGCGTGACTGTGATTTTTCCAGCCCAAAAACAATCGCTCGTCATGTATCGAAACTAGAAGAGCCTTCTTCAACTTTGCGGCATTCATGATCCAACTACGGTGACTTGTACCTTGATGAATGAACTGCGTTGCGTTATTTATTTATTTATTTATCATTCATGTCAAACTTTTCTGTTTACTTTCTCATTTTATTCAAGAAATTACTTCCTTCGATAAGTACAAGCACTAGATTAATGAACATATACGAGTGATTTTCTAATTCGATTTGAGTTAGTAGTATTATCCAAAAGGACAACAAAATCAATTTGAAAGCTGTAAATAATTAGATGGGGGCCAAATTATCAACTGTCTTAACTTCATGTATTGCTATTACCCAAAAAAAAAAAAAAACTATGTTTTCGGAGTCGGAGACTCAACCGAGTTTAGGATTAAGGGTCAATAGGTTTGATCGAATTTGATCTGAAGTTGAATCGAATAACATCATATATATGTCACACACACACACACACACACACACATATATATATATATATATATATATATATACCCATTATTTTTCTTGTAAAAATAGCCAAGATCCCAAAATTCACCAATCAACAAGACTAATCAGCAATCACTTGACGCCAACGAGTAGCAAAAAGGCCTAACCAAAATGTTTAAAAGCATTAGGCTTAATTATTGATCCCAGAAAACAAATTTTGCATTAGTTGATTGTCCTAATAAATCTTGACTTAACCCAAAAAAAAGGTATAAAAAACAAGTAAATTGGTATGTTTTGTCATATAACCTATGAGATTAGAAATAGGGATAATTTCAGATACCTCCCCTGAGGTTTCTAACAGTTTCACTCCCCTCCCCTGTGGTTTCTGAAATTCCACAAACCTCCCCTAAAACTAGAGGTGTCAAAATGGGTGACTTGGGCGGGTTTGGGTTGGGTAAAATGGGTAATGGGTATAAGTGAGTCAACTCATTTATACCCATTTAATTAGATGGGTATAAATGGGTAAGTCAAAAAATGAATTGGGTAACTCAATTACCCATTTATAACTCATTTATTTTAACTTTTTGTAAACTCATTTAAATTCATTTTTGCAAACTAAGTTATCAATTTATACCACTCTTTGTACCCATCATTAGTTTTAAATATTTACTTATAATATTCAATAAACTTAATTACCAATTTTTTTCATTTATACTCTATGTCACAAAATTACCTATTATTTAATAATTGAATAATACGAATATAAAAATTTGAATTAAGTACTATAAAAATTAATATAAAAACTTAATCCAAAAATTTTGAACCCCTAACATTTTTTTCATATATAAATATAAATTTTCATTTTATAAAGATAAGAAAATAGGCTAAAATTTATCATAAATTGGTAATGCTAAAAAATGAGCAAGTTAACAAACTAAGAAAAAATAAAATAATAAGATAAAATCAATAAAAAAAAAAAAATAATAATAATAATGTTAACATCATGACAAAATGAAAAATTTGAAGAAAAAAAAGGTAGGGGAAAAAAAGAGACTTGGGGGGAAGAGAATTTTAAATGGGTTAATTGGGTTTGATGGGTTACCCAATAATACCCATTTATTAAATGGGTATTATTGGGTAACTCATTTATACCCATATGCAAAAATTTAAGATACCCATACCCATCTATTCATGGACGGGTATGGATAAATTTAGTTAAGTGGGTTGATTTGCCACCTCTACCTAAAACTAAATAGGCAATGTCAAAATAGACCCAATTTAAAAATGAAAACAATAAAAAATCAGTAGCTGGAGAGAGAAACAAGTGTATACCACAAATGCCCTCATTATCTTGGGTTAGAAAGCTAATCTGATGTGAAGAAAAAGGAGGGAATTCAAGAAGAATGAAACTTGAGGGGATGTAAGTGAGACCAATGCATTCATTGAGGTGTGAACGTCAGTAGTGAACAAAATGGAAGGCAACGGCTCTTTCTGGCAGTCAGTTCATCTTCCTTCTTTGTACGTCTCTTCTTAGGCTTGGCACTGGATGAATTGTGTTCAACTGAATCCTTTCCATTTGTTCCTTCTGAGTCATAATTTGAAGATTTAGTCATTCCATCCACCTTAACTTCAACTTCATCACCAATATGCTTATTAGCTATCTCAATGTCTAAAAATGAAAATCTCCTGAAATTGCATAAAAACCTGTTGATTGAACCAGAAAGTTGTCTTCTTTGGGATGCAAACAATCAAGAGCAGTAACAAGGAGTTCAGAGAGTATTTCAGCCGAAGACGCCTTAATATCCTTCACTTTGCCAAGCATAACAGAGCAATTAGTAGATCTATGTGGCCCAACTTTCCACGATTTCTTATCACCATTTGATTGTCCTACTCCTCCACCCCATAAGGAAGAAGCGCAGCAGCCACAATCATTCCTTCTTCATTCAAAATATTATATGTTGATGCAGCATTTCTCTGCAATATGAGGAAAATAAGAAACTAGAAAAACTTATGCCAGGCCAACACAAGTGCAGAAGAGAAGCAAAAATCGACAAAAAATGCTTCACCAAAATTTGCTGTCTAAGAATAAACTACTGCCGGTTCAAGTAGATTGAGATACACAAAAGGCTAAGTCATCAAGGTATGAGCCAAATCTCTATGTCCACAGACAGCACTGCTATGCATGTTACAGATATTAAGACATCAAGAAAGCACAAAACTCATACTGGAAGGCACTGTAGAATGCAAGCAAAACATCCAGATAGAATCTTGTTAAAAGATGTAGATATAAACACATGAAATCTAGAAGGGTGCTGGTTGTATGAATGAACGTTTGAAGAAATTCATGAGTTATAATGAGTTTGCATTAAGCCTGATTGTATAATCTTTATCAATCATTGATTAAATCCATCTGCATTTACTATGAAACCAGAACAAGTTTACAAACAGTAATTTACCATCTGTAAGAAAATCAAAGCAGTACACTTACCGAATCAATTGCTTCAAGATTCATGCCCATAGACCGAATAAATTGCCGAAGGTCAGGACTTACTGGCTGGATATGCCTCCCACAACCAAGAATTAATATTCCTGATATCATCAGCAGATATAGAAATTAACAACTGAATGAACAAAGCTTATGGCAAAAAAGTGATTCACTGAAACTAATTTACTACTACTACTTCAATAGGACCACATCTGTCGACAGGTTCACCAAATCTGTCAAAAGCTGCGCACAAGACACTAGTGTGTAAATCTTGTTTCCAGTTCAGAACTAGTACAAGAGCTGATCAAAGATTAAAAAAAAAAAAGCTGCTCAACCCCAACATTAAAATAAATTTGTGGTTTGTAACAATGAATGCACGCTTTGTTCAATGTCAATAGAAGGAAAGGGCTATAGGCCCAATGAAAGATTTCAGGAAAACCAAAACTAAGCCAAAAAAAAATGTCTGAGCCAAAAAAAAATGTCTGAGAGGCATTCCTTTGGCGAAATTCTTCAAGAAAGGCCCTGAGAGACTGAACAAACTCTGGAAAATCTATCTCCTCAAGCGCCTTGAAAACATCCTCGGCATTTATTATCTGCCTATTCGACTCCTTGCATATATCATTTGCAACTGCGGTGAGGTAGTGGATGAAGATGCGACCACTTTTAGAGAAGGCCTGCAGGGCTTCGCGGAAAACGGAGATTCAGACTCGGCAGAGAGCTGAGAGAGCTTATCTTTCACCAGCCGCAGGACAATTGTCTTCGGCAGCTCCTCTAATTCCCTAGCCGTCGATTCCGTCACCGTCGTCACTTCACCATTCTCCTTCGCTTTCTCTTTCTCTTTCTCTTTTTCCACCATTCCTACATAAACGTATCACACACGTGCTCTCTGTTACTCTAATTTATTGTTAATTACATTAATTGTGTTTATAACTAACTTAACTAAATTTTTTGAGATAATCACGAAATATTAGCAAACTTGTGAGGGTATTTAAGTCTTTTTGACACCAATGATGTAAGAAATGGGACCTACTAATCTGACAAGGGAGGTTTGTGGAATTTCAGAAACCACAGGGGAGGGGAGTGAAACTGTCAGAAACCTCAGGGGAGGTATCTGAAATTATCCCTTAGAAATAAAAGGTATTCAAAAGGTGCATCATCTTCACATGCAAGTCAGACGGTTTCGGATGCCACCAAATCACCTAATCATAACTTTGTACTCAAATTAACAAGTTGCATGTCCTTTTTAATCAAGAATATATATATATATATATAAAGCAAAATCAGGACTGTTTATGATTTTCCCAACAAATTACAGCAATGGAGAAGTGGCAGCAAAGACGATGAAATTGGGGTGGCGGTGGACGAACCTGTTGGTAGCGGCACTGGTTGTTTGGTGGAGGAGCTAGGGTGGGTTACGAACGACAGCAGATATTCGCGTTTGGGAAACTTCTGGTTGGAGTAGATACTTTTTTGTTTGGATTGTATTTTTTTAAAATTTTTTATAATAAAATTATTATAACGATTTGATATATGTAAAGTAAAAAAGTGGTTGAAGATTTTGAGTGTAGCAATTTTTTTAAAAAATTTTCAATCCAATCAAAGCCGCGCTACATATAAAAAGTAGTTGTTTCGCATGTGTTCTTTTTGCTTGATCAATGAAGAAAATATAGGAAATAATAAAAGATTAAACTCTTATGTCTCAGACATTTTATTTTGGATGAGAAATGAAATTCTCATCAATGCTATTCAACACTAGATGTACAGCTTTTCCAGCGCACATGTAAATTTAGTTTACAATGAATGAAATTATCCTTTTGACAAAAATAAATAAATAAATACATAAATCAAAGCCGCTCTACTTTTTTTTGTCAAATCATAAATCTAATCCCAGAACGGTTCTCAAAAGTCGGCAACTCTTGAGTGTGTCCCAAGGACTTATAACCTAACCCAAACCCAACCCCAACCCCGATGTGGGATAATCAACCTCCACAAAGGAGCCTGCCCTTCGGCGCGAATCTTTTCGCCCGTAACTATTCGGACCCTCACTCCCCGTGATAAGCTGACTGTCTTCTCTCAACATTATTGTTGTTTTTTTGTCAAATCATAAATCTAATTCCAGAACAGTCCTCAAAAGCCGGCAACTCTTGAGGGTGTTCCAAGGACTTAATCAAAGCCGCTCTACTTGTTTGAGTTGTTTCCTTGTTTCGTTGGTCAAGGTCCGGTCTGATTAAAAAGTCAACTGGTGGACCCGGGAACTTTTGACCGCCTACTTAGTTAGACCCAGACCCCTTTCGAAAGGGAACGTCTTTTCAACATTAATACGTCCAAAATACATAGCATAGCACTACATAGACTCCGCACCAGCCACAAAAATCTGATCCCCCTATATATTGAAGTTGATATTTGACCCAAAAAAAAAAAAAAAAAAAAACACCATGGTTCCCCTTTCCGCTGTTCCACTTGAATTCGCACGCTAACATCCCACCATCACATGCGTGCAACAAAGACGAAGAATTATCAGTCCTCAAGTCAACATACCTAATAGGACCATCCAAATCGGAGACATGAGTGAGTGCAACACTTGTTCCCATGATGACGCTGCTCTCAAACACTCACTGCAACATTGCACCGAGTTATCGACAGAACTCAGTTGGGAAAACATCGCGACTTCACGTTTTCGAGGATTCAGAGGAAAGCCTCAAAACCTTAAACTCAGATTCTACTATTTCGGATTAAAAACTCTCTGTCAACTCCCCTCATAGACTGAACAATAGCATATACTATCATATGTTATACTCATAATATATTTGTTGACATTTAAATAACAATAAATCCTTCCAGTAACAAATTAAACGCACAAAATCTATCCATCCATAGGGTTCATTAGTTTATTATTGCAGTGAGACTGGTGCAAGAAAATGCGGCTAATTCCCAGCTTACTCCAGCTTCCTCCAGGATCCTACCAATTTGGCCAATGCCACAGTGGATGAGCCCCCATCAGCCACTGCTTGCTTTGCTTCCTCCTTCTTTGCCTGGGCTCTTTCCCTGATCACCTTTCCTTCCTCCGAATCCATCAACCCCCTAACTCGCTTCTCTATTTCAGCCGCTTTCACGAACCCACCTTCCGTACTTTCATCCATTGGTAAGGCCAACTTCATCTCCTCAACTAAGAACAGCCTATTCAGCTTCTGCTCAGCATAAAGTGGCCACCCCACCATAGGCACACCCGCACAGACTGCTTCCAACACTGAGTTCCACCCGCAGTGGGTCACAAACCCACCCACCGACCCATGATTCAACACATCCACCTGCGGTGCCCAAGAACTCGCCACGAAACCCCTACCCTTTGTCCGGTCCAAAAACCCGTGGGGCAGCAACAAATCCAGATCTGGGGCGGGTGGAGTTTGAAAGCGGTTGGTTTTGTCCTCAGAAGGCGGACTGCGCACCACCCACAGGAACTTTTGCTCGCTCCTCTCCAACCCGATGGCTATCTCTTTCAGTTGCTCAGCTGGAAATTGACCCACGCTCCCAAAGCACAAGAATACAACGCTTCCACTTGGTTGCATATCCAGCCATTTCAAACATTCATGCACACCTCCTCCCGTTCCACCTGCTGCACCTCCACCTTTCCCGTTGTCTGATGCAATCAGAGGTCCTAAGCTGAAAACAGGCGGAGTGGGGCCATCCGGAACATACTTTCCATCAGCGATTGATTTCAAGATGCTAGGTTCGAGCGATTCGAACGTGTTGACTAGGATCCCGGACGATTTTGCCAATTGCGTCGCAACATCTAAGAAAAATGCATACTCAGGAGACGTTCTTTCCAGCAAAGGAACTGGCATGTCTCGTGGTGGTATTGGAAGTAAATCAGGAAGATGTAGAAGTTCGTCCAGGTCTTTATAGCTTTTGTTTGTTGATTGGTGGAGCGTGGGTAAGTAAAGGAAGAGAGCGAGACCATTAGCGCCAGAAGTGAAGAAGTAATAAGTCGGGATTCCAAGGTTGGTAGCAACAGAGAGGGCACAAGTGCAAAAGAAGTCGATGATAAATGCAGAAATTCCAGCTGTCAAGGAGATGGAGTGCAGAGCTTGGCGAACATGAGGGTTGCTGAGTCGAAGGAGCTCGAAGTGGAGAGCTTCTATGGAGGGGTAAGAGTCAGGGTCAAGAGGCGGAGAGGGCAGGTGGTGGAAAGAGATGGAAGGGGTGGTGGCATAAATGCGATTCATGTAAGCAGCAGTGGAGGCTGCAGTGTTGTATGGCGGGTTCACTACGAGAACAGTAATAGCCAATCCAGGGTGGTGGTTGAGAGTGAACTTACCCAGCTCCACCATGGAAACCAGGTGACCCATGCCTGGAGATGGATACAGAACTATAGTACGATTACTCCCCATCTCTCTCTCTCTCTCTCTCTGTTCTTACACCCAATTTCCACAAAAACTACGCAACTCTTTGAGCCAATTGAGAGCCTCAAATTTCCAAGTTCCAAATAAACAGAGAGTAACTCCCTTCTACTTAACCATTGGGCCATTTGGCTCAGTGTCCACGAGGGAGGGACTTAAGTTCCTCCTTGGGCTGTTGGCGAGGGTAGCGAAAAAAATCTAAGGGTTGTGTTATAGTACTTCTTTGATCTAGTTGGGTCTGTATACCCATTAGCCCCTTTCATAATCTCCTTGGGCTCCCCTCTCCCTAAATTAGGATAGAATAGGTTATACAAATATATCGTTGCTAAAAAAAAAAAAAAAAAAAAAAAACTCCCTTCGACTTTCCATAGCCAATAAATGCAATCAACTGACCGTTCTTTGTCAAGTCCCCGTAGGCAACATCAACTTGGCTTTGAGCGAAAGTCGAGTCACCGTTTCTGTCATATACCGTCGATCTTTCGTTTTTTGCCCTTTTCCCTTGGCCCCTCTTGCCGTGCGAATGCTACTGGTTTATAAAAGCTTACAGAAGCACATACGTCATTGTTATTTTCTCTTGTAACCTTAAACTGCCTTCAGTAGTCCGTAAGATACAATAATAATATCTAACAAAAAATCCGCCTGCAAAGAAATTTGCCTCAGAACTCCTCAAATCTCGTCTCAATGGAATCTCAGAAAGGTTTCTATTTGATTTAACTAAAAGTATGTCCAGCAAACACACTTTTCTTAAATAGTCTGTTGATGAAGGGTAAATTTCTTGGAATATTTTGATTAAAGAAAAACAAAAGGTAGGTTAGAAAAATATGATCCTGTAGAGGTGCTTTTCTTGTTATATGCCCGTTGAATCCCCGACTGGCAATTTTTTTTTTATTTTTTTAATCTAAAATACTGAATATGCTGGCCCGTTATCTACTTTGTAGCAGGGACCAATTTATAAATAAGGTTTTTTTTTTTTGTTTTTGGCCTTTTGAGCGAACTAATAATAATATGATCAGAATACATGATAGCGCTGGAAACAACTTTTTATTTCATTCCCAAGCTAAGAAAAATCTTTTCCGGTGCTGCTGTCGAGTTCTTTTGAAAATCACATAACAAGTCATGCAGATTTTAAGTTATTGCACAATTAGGTTTAATCATATATTAGTAAATACAAATTCGATTTACATTTAGATAAAGGAAAATAGTTGTGACACAATTCTAATACTATACTTTCTTACGAGCAAGAAAGTTTGTAATGATTTTCAATTTTTTTCCTACCTGGAGAAAACAAAGGTCTAAACTTGAAATATAATTAACAGAAAGCTATAAAAATTAGAGATTATATAGAGATAGAGTAATTAGGATTCAACGCTTGCATACAATATGGTAATTATCTTACAATAGGAAATATTTTTAAAATCATGAGAAGGTGCAAGGGACTTGAATCCAAGACCTCTAATTCTTGATACTTCAACTTGAGTCACTAGATCAAGGATTTGATAACAGAGAAGTAACAGATTCAACACTAAGGAATTTTTCATCTCGACTTGGAATAACAAGCTAAATTAATAAGTTTGATGAAATGATAAGATAATATTTTTTTTTTAAAAAAAAAAAAACTTCAACTAACCTTTTGGTCCTATTCATAACATAAATTAATAATTCACCAAAATTACATTTCATATTTTTTTATAAAAAAATGAGTCTATTATTTTTCTTAAATTTTAAGTTTACCTAAATCTTATCCTCAGTTTTGTATTAATTAAACTTTTAACCTTCTTTTATTAATAAATTAATTCATTTTTATCAAATAAAGCTTTAGGTGATAAAATGAGTGTTTCTTTGGATTGTAAGTACACTCAACAAATTAATAAATTATTAATTTATTGATTAATTAATACATTTTAAATTAATAGAATTTGTAAGATCCCAAAATTATTAATTTATTTTACTATAGTAGTTAAAAGACACTATCCGACTCGTTATGCACTCTTAGGTGCAACAAAATGGGCTATGTGTCTCCTGTTTTTGGTTTGCTTTAATTAACTTTAAATTGCATACGGAGAATGAAGGGTGAAAAGGTTGTTGAAGGGTTTTAAATGTTTTTGCCACTATAAGAGAGAGTTTGGGAGAAACAAGCGAGTATAACGATCAGTTTGACTGAGCAGTTTACTCAAGAAAAGGAGGCTGGACCCGGCAACCACTTTTAGAAAAGAGAAAATTTCCTTATTTATAAATTGGTCCAGAGAACTTAAGATAAATAACCAGCCCGTCATGTCCATTGGATACGGTGATCACTTAAAAAAATATATTCTTTATTTATAAATTGGTCCAAGGACCGTAAAATAAATAAGAGCAAATTATTTGGATAGTTACCAAACTTTTTGAATAGACGATTTTTGACCACTTAACTATTAATAGCATATTTTTATCCACTACACTATCAAAATTATAAATTTTGGACTATTCCGTCTGACTCCACTATTAATTTTAACAAATCTAACTATTAATAGTATATCTAATAAATTGTGCAGATCTTTAGATCGGGCAGAGTTAGTGGTTGGATCAAATGAAATAGCACAAAATTTACACACTTAATAGTTCAGTAGATAAAAATGTATTATTAAATGTTAAGTGATCAAATCCTAACCACTTAAAAAAATCAAGTTGTTACCCTAGTAATTTGCCCAATAAATAACCAACCGTCCTGTACATTGGACGGAGCAAGCTGTTTTAGATTAAAAGTATAGAAATGTTGCCCACCTTGTTCATTGGACATGGCGGCCATATAACTTTTTATCAATTACTTGAATAGATTCGATCTAACAAGAAAAACACCTTTACAAGACATTCTTTTTTTGGCCTTTTTTTTTAATCAATATTTCAAGAAATTTGCTGTTAAATCATGTCTGCCTTGGAAGTAACCTCATTATGGTTGGGGATAAAGGTTGAGAGGGCACTTTTTATTATTTTGATTTTCAAATGCAACCTTATTTTCTAAAAGCCCTTAAGTAAAAAAAAATCACCAAAATATTCAAATTATATGCATGGGCATATCTATATAAATTAGCACTAAAAATTCAAACCCAAAGTTTCCCTAACAAAGAAAACAGGAAAAATACCATAGATAGATTCCAAAGCCTACAAAATGTTCATAATTAGTGCACGTAGAGCTCCTAATAACCAAAAGCAAAACCCCAGACTATTCAGCAGAAAACCACGGCAACTATTACAGGGAATATTTCTAAAATTTTTAAAACATCACTTATTTCTCTTACTTTTATTATTTGTGAAACAAAATTTTAAAAACCCTGAACTATAATTTTACTCATTTTGATAAACAAAACACTCCTAAATCACTTTGTGTTGCTCCAAGGAAAACCACCATCTGAAAACAAATCTCTAGTAGGACCACCACATCACAAATTTATAGTCCATAAAAATATAAATTTGAAAAACAAAAATGATATTTGTAAAGAAATGTGCTAGTATCAATTCAACTATGTACATTCAAAATCATTTTTTTATGAACATTATTTTTTTTCTTAACCTCTTCTCAATCTATGGTTCAAACTTTTAAGTTGTATTAAATCATTTTTTTTAAAATAACTCAAATTAAACAAAGAAATTATACTCAACTCTATCACAATCATAAAATGAAAAAAATAAACAAAATTCAATTTACTATAATTTAAAAATTCAAAATTCCATAATTATCTAGAAAAAATGAATAAGAGAGGATATTAGAAAAAAGGGAAAAGATAAGAAAGTGACATGTATTTTTTCTTTTAATTTTTCAAGTTCCATTTATTTGATATGTGAATTATGTATCAAATGAGAATTAATGCAATCATTTTGCAATTATTAGGGGAAATAAGTGATATTTTTAAAACTTCAAGGGTACTAAATAATATTAAGAGAAACCTCTGGGGAGGTTTCTGATAATATCCCTTTCAATTATCGTACAACATGCCGACACCTCTTTCTAATTTCCCCCAACTCAAAAAATTGATAGAGATTTCTAAAGACAAGGACTCGCTTTTCTTTTCTCTAAGTCCAAGTTGACTTGGATATTAATTAATGGGCTTTCTCTTTCCAAAGGCCACCAAATGAGATGGACCCGAGGAACCACTGGGCCAGTGACTCAGTGGCTACAGGGAGGGGCTTAAGCCCCTTTTTGGGCTGTAGATGAGAGTTCAAATGTCACCTGCAGCGAAAAAAATCTAAGAATTGTGCCAAAGCACTCTCTTGATCTAGTTGGATCTGTATACTCATTAGCCCCTACCACAGTCTCCTTAGGCTTCCCTTCCCCCTTAGATTAGGATAGAATAAGTTATACAAATGCACCGTTGCTGACAAAAAAAACAAAAAGAGATAGACCCAAGGCAAACAAGCCGAGATCCATAGGATCAGAGTAATCCTTGTACCAAAAGTAAGCTATGATACGAAAGGGAATCAATAAATAAAAAAAAGCATTAAGGGTTTTTTAGTTGAAACAAACAATATAATTCCTCTTTTTTTTTAATTAACGTCTTGTAAAAGATATGCATTACATGATTGACTACCAGCAAACACCTTAGCAGTATATGACTCAACTGTTCCTGTTTACATATGCTATCAATATGAAGCAACATCTACCAACAAAATGGCTTCTATCATTTCAGAGTTAACACCAATGAATGAGAGTGCAACTGGATATGAAGCAACGGAAAGATCCCCTGTAGCATCATGAATCTTTCAGCAAAGCTAAAGTTTAGTCATATATCAGCATTTTACATCTTTAAGTTAATTAAGTAGAAGATATTCATTTTCCTAGAACACAACTGATACAAGACAGACGAAATAAAGTCAGCCCAAAATACCTTCGCGTACATCAGAGGCTTGTCTAGCAATACATTGATATCATCCAAGGCCCCTAACATACTGATCAAGAGTTGAATTAAATAGATCACTTCTGCCCAAGAAAAATGAAGAAGAAAATTAGTTTAGCAACCATTTTTTTTTTGCCAGAAAACAGAAACCGAAAATTATATATTTGCCTCCAAGTGTAATGAACAGAGATCATTGTTCTGACCTATGAACACATCCATCACGTGCAGGAAACATGCATAAGACGCATCATCAGAATACATGCATGAAGCCATCATGCAGCCTTATTACATGTCACTACATCTCACAAAAAATAGGAAAAGAAAAGGTGCAAAAGGTTTTTTTCAGAAAGAAAAGGAAAAAATCTATTCGATGAGATTTTAAAATAAATATCTTCCCAAGGAAATAGGTGGAAAGGTTTCACAAGAAAGTAGAAGAGATGTCAACAACGGCCAAATATCAGGCAGCTTATGGAAGCAGTTAATTCCTTTAAATACTCACTAAACTAGGTACTAGAGAGACTTTCCTTCAGCAGTCCATCATTCTCTGGCTTTTAACTACATTAAAACCTTTGTATGTGTCTTTCCAAAAACTATAAAAGACCCTATTTGATTCAAACAAACAACAAAAGTGAAGTTTGAAGAAAGAGCAGCAGATTTATGAGACATCGCGTTTAACATCCACTGTTTAAGTTCAAATCACAACTTAGATGTGCAGGTCGAACCCCATATAAGTAATGGGACAAAAATTTCCACGCATGAAACACATAGACCTATTTAAGATCTAAAAAGTTAACAAAACAAAATTTAAACTAGTTTTGCATCACCAGATGCACACAGACCTACACATTTGCAGCCAAAGAATTAAACAAAAACCGGTATAAGTCAGGAAAGAATTGACAATGCACATATATCAGCCAATTAATCATTCTGTGTTAAGTACTGAATGACACCCTGCGACTTACCTAATTGGATTTCCGGGTGAGTACAGTGGATTCTTGACAACATACTCGACATACAAGTTGTATATGTACTTGAGGGATTCCCTTAAATCACCTGTCCTAGGATGAGTTACCAGGATGATCTGTAAAACCAATGAATACATGGGGAATAAGAGATTTTTAATGTTAACAAGAGAGAGTTTTTCAACTTGACATGGAAAAAAGTTATGCTAACTGCCAGCAAGTGATAGTCAGACAACAGATAAAGGTCTTGATACTCTTGCTACATAGCCATCTATATGAATGCAAGCATATATACTCATGCAATCATCTGGACAGACCTTAATCCCAGATGGACTCTCCATGAAACTAAGTTTGTAAGTATTAGTGCGGAAGCTGTGGAACGAACATCCCTGTCCAGGTAATTGTGGCACTCCAAGATTTCCTTTATCAGCGCTGCCAAAGAGATCAAACAATAATGTAAGAAAGTCACTCTTATTAGCATGTCTTCAAAGATATGATTGAGAAACATTTTTAGACCAGGACAATAATGAGATGCAAAACTAGTCTTCAGGATTACTTTCAATTTGACCAAAAAATGGCCAATCCTTTCTGGTAAAAATTCTCACATCACACCATCAAGCAGCTACTGTGGGTGGTCATTTAAGGTGCACATATATTGACTCATGAACTTCTTTATATACATCAACAAATGTACATATGTTTTACCACCAGTATACTCTTCAATCACCCTTCTTTTTTCAAAAGACTAACACGATTACAAAAGAATACCCAAACTTTAGAAATGCCTATCAAAGTACTTGTGATCATGAGGCAGATTATTATCTTTCTCCTTAGGCATGAACCTCGTATTAAACTGCCTTGACAATGGCCTGACAGTCTGGTTGGAGAAATGGGTCATCTTTTTGGGAATTAAAAAGCTAGAAAAGAAAAATTGTAATGCTAATGCACGTTATGGAGGCCAAATTGATTATCAGACAACTTGGGGGGGGGGGGGAATTGGAATTAACCATTACGCAAGTTGAATCAAACGTCAAGTGGAATAACAAAAGAAAAAGGTCGTGTAATTATTAGAAACGAAAAATTAATTCCAAAATTATTTGATCGAAAGAAGGAGAAAACGGACCTAGTTGGATCCATTTTGGCAGTCAAGGATTTAAGAGAGAAGAGGAGACCGAACATGAGCTTGTGATCCTGCTGGGGGCTGAGAGTCTTAAGTGGCCGATTCCATTCCCTGTACAGCAGACATACTCCATTCCTGTTGAACACGTATAGCATGTGGGCGTTATTCCCCGCTGCCGTCGGGACCGGCGGCGATGGACTGATCTCGGATCCTCCGAAAAATTGCATGCTTTGGGAGATGCTTTTTTTTTTTTTTGCTTTTATCCTCGGGAGATACTTGTGGAGATGAGCAACAGGGGAATGGGAGGAACAAGGATGAGCAGCGACAGCTAGGGGCCGGGGAAGGGTAGTGGACAATGGCTTGGCTTGGCTTGGCTTGGCTTGCTGGCTGGCTGGCTAGACTGGAGAGGCGGCGGTAGGGCTACTAGGCTACTAGCAGTAACAAAGGGAGTGTTTGGATACACATATTATTTCAAATAATATTTCGCTTGCATCATAAACACATTTCCTAATCCACCTTTTTATATTTCCAATCAACTTTTTATCTCACATACATCACATCACAAAAAGTGCTACAGTAATTATTCCAAATAATATTTCAAATAATACTCTATCCAAAGTTTTACTACTGCTAAACTTTTTTATGTTTTGTTTTCCAAATTTGGGATTAAATTTTGGAATCATGGTTCCTGAAAACCTACCGATCCTCATTCCCCTCTTTTCTATTTTTCTTTTGGCGGAGAGAATGAAAACCTCCCAATCCATGCGGGTACAGGCTACAGAGTTTTGATGAATCTTTAATAAATTTCTTTCCAAAAAGGGAAAATGACCAATTTCGTCCTTATACTTTTTTATCGTGTCAATTCAGTCTATATATAATTTTTTTGGCCAATTTGATACCTATACTTATTTTGCGGTACCAATTAAGGAACGCTGCGGCGGCGCCACCACGTAAATTCGATTAACCTACTAATTGAACAACTAAGCAGGGGTATTTCGGACACTTCACTGCTTCTTCATTTGTCACCTTTTCTTCTTCATCTTGCTTATCACCATCCACAGAAGCCATAGCCGGAGTAGCAGATCCGTCTCACTCCAACTCAAGGACAGATGTTGGTGACGTACGCAAGACTAGGCTTTCAGCAGAGTCCTCAAATACACAAGAAGGAATGTCATTTTGATTATGTGGCTGGGAAACCGCCATTGAGCTAGACTGATTATTATATTCTTCTCAGACGCAATTTGATCAACCATGGCCCTAGCTTCAAATTCAAGTCATTTCGCTTCATAGGCTCTTGAAGCTCCCTTTATAAAATAATTACCCAACCAGATCCTCTTTCCCTTAAACGGGTTGCGAATTTCTACAACCCATTTTCCCCATTTCCTCTGCCTGAGACCTTTGTATTTGGAAGAGGAAGGCCTTGATTGAGGTTAACTCTACAATTTAGTTAAACCAGTCTTCTTTTTAGGGTTGTTTTTCTCTGCATTATTGCTCTCTTGACAGGAATTTTTAGCTTTCTGTGCAACAGCCATAGCCACAGGCTAACCAGGTTGCCTTTTTAACTTCACAATAGGGAGAATAACCTCCCTAAGAAATCTCTTAGGCTTCTTTTCAATCACCGTTTCATCATCTGATGAATCAGTATCAGTAGCATTCGAATCGTAACAAAAGACCCTAATCTTCCTCACAGGTCAGTACTAGGGATGGCAACGGGGTGGGGTTGGGGCGGGGGACCCCTCCCCCGTCCCCCGCCCCGTCCCCCGCCTCCCACTCCCCCCGCCCCGTCCCGCCTTGCCCCGCTTCACCCGCGGGGGCACCCACGGGGTTAATAAAATTTTATTATATAATTTTATTATAATTAAATTTTAATAAATAATCAAGTACTAAAATATCAACACATCATCAAATTATTATTCATTGTAATTTTACAATTGAAACCCATAAAAACAATCAAACAGAAGTTATTTGAATACAATCCAATATGATGAAATAAATATAACTAAAATAGTCAAATTTTCACTTTTAGTACAAATGCAATTACTAATTCATCATTGTGTTTGTGCTTTTTTTTTTGAGAAAAAAGTGTTATTCTATTAAGTGTAATTAGAAATTTAGTATAAATGTATTAGTAAATTTAGTATAACTAATTAATAAATTCTATTAGTAGACATGTATAATTATTCATATAATTGATAATATCAATTATATTACATAAACTAATATACATTATATAATACATCTAACTAATAATATCATTATCATAAGTTTATAACTAATTAACTTACATATAATATATAGTCATATATATATATATATATATATATTTTGCGGGTGGCGGGGCGGGGGATGGGACGGGGGAGTATACCCCCGCCCCCCGCCCCGTTTCTAAGCGGGGGGAAAAAATTCCCCCCCGCCCCGCCCCAACCCCCGCCTCGTGAGCCCCCCGCGGGGCGGGCACCCGTCCCCATTGCCATCCCTAGTCAGTACCACTTTCACCAGAATCTGAAAAAGTTTGACAAATTCAACAATCAAATTAGTCAAAATCAACTCTTTACTACTGCACATATAACTAGCATCGAAAACCAATCCAAAAATCAATGCTAACAATATGGATTTCGAATTCGACGCCCATTTAGCTACCTTCATCTGGATTCGACTAAACTGGTTCCTAATCATCAGGGGCCTGAGGTGGTGGTGGATCTTCAGCTTCTTGAACTGGCTGCTGCTGCAGCTGCCGCAGCTGCGGTTCTTGATCAGCTGCTATCTTCATCGCTTGATCACCTCCAATCCTACGCGATTGTTTACGCCGCGGTCGGCTGGAATGTGGGACAGAATGCTCCTCACCACCTTGAGGAATTGAAGTTCGTTTCTGTGCAGCAATTTTTGGGACTTCTTTTTGTATTTTCCCTTTTTTCCTCCCTCTTATGGTTTCCTCTGGCAACTTCCAAACCACCCCTTCTTTAATGGGTTGCGGAGATTATTTGGAAATAAATAAAAGGATTGAAGAAGACGATGGTTACAGGCTATGGGGAGAATAATTGACTGGGGAGAGTGATGGAAGAGTTACTGTCTTTTGCTTCTTTTTTTATCCTTCTTGCTGCCTTTCGAAGTTGGAACTTGGAAGAACGGTTCAACCCAGCAGTGAAGTGTCCGAAATACCCCTGTTTAGTTGTTCAATTAGTAAGTTAATCGAATTTACGTGGTGGCATCGCTGCAGCGTTCCTCAATTGGTACCGCAAAATAAGTATAAGTATCAAATTGGCCAAAAAAATTATATAAGGACTGAATTGACACTATAAAAAAGTATGGGGACGGAATTGACCATTTTCCATTCCAAAAATCTCATACCCACATGGCCATACCCTGTAGCCAAAATCTTTAATTCCCACGCCTTTCTGCCAAGCACCATGACCCAACAAATTGGCTTGACTAGTGTTAGCTGATTCAACAACAACATTACAACAACAACAACTACGACTAGTTGTATTCACAATTACTGGTGTTCGAGGCACACTTCTCGTGTGCACAACTAACAAAAAATTTATATAAATATTTGTTAAAATCATTCTTATGAGGCAATTTTATATATTTTTAATACGTATGGTGAAAAATTCACCAAAATAAACTATGCAAAATGTAAATAGATAATTGTTTGGCAGTGGGTGTAATCAAAAGAGAGACAGAGGGAGCTAGTGAACAATTAGTTATAAAAAGTAATTTAGAAATATCACAAAGTGATAGATTTTAGTTTAATCTCCCCCTTTTTATATATGGTCCATAGATAATTATTACTATTTTTATAAACACTCTAACTTATCAATATGTTCAAATGACATAGTTATAAAGCCTAACCTGCCTCAACGGTTAAACTGATCAACTTGGTGAACGGGTTATAGGATCGAATTGGGTTGTTAATCAAACTTATTGACTTGTCAATGATCCGACGCTTCAATCGGTGAATTGGAAAAAAAAAATCATCAATTAAGCTGCCATCTAACCACCAACATAAAAATTATATTGTTTTTATAATTAAAAATATATATTATAATATAGCTATTATGCAGCTCACGGTTGAATCGGTGACTCGATCACCTCTCTGGATTGAGCTCCGAGTTGGGTTTAATAACTATGATCTAAGTCAATCTAGTTGAAAATACTAGTAATTGAACATATTTTTCCTTCTATTTTTGGAAACTTACAAAAAGAAAAATGGAAGTATCGTCTTTCTTAAAAATCAATTAGTTTTTTATTAACAATAAAATTGTGTAGCTTAGTCATTCTAAGAAGGATTAAATTTTCCCATACCATCAATGTAGACTTTTTTTGTTTTAACATAATCAGATTTGAATATATGACACGTGTAAAAAAAGAATTTAAAATCTAAACTAAAGGTTAATATGTATTGGTACATATCAGTGCCCAAAAAAAAAATTGTACACCCAACACCTCAGGGAAGAATAATTCATACACGATCGTAGACCGCGTGCAATTGCGAACACGCGTGTTATAATCATTTTTTTAGAGGAAAAGAGATTAATACGAACTTAAAAATTTTATGCAGGAAAGAGCTAAATTGTAGGAAGATTAAACCCCAGTGAGCAGGGTTCACCCACTAGGGGCCGGTAACCTTTCCCCACTTCCTTTGTGTGCTTTTCTGAGTACCCTACATTATGAACTGAGGGTAGTCTTGGCGGACCTTGTCCATTTATCAATTGCATTTCGTTCCCACCATCAATTTATTGCGAACCTTTTTTTTTATCTTTCACCGAAAACCCAGAAATGAAGTAGTAAAATCCATTCAATGGCCAGAATTCCTGGACAGTTTAGTAACCCTCAGCTATAACTGCTTCATGGGCTAAGGAAACTCGCACACAGAAAAAATTTAAGAAGCATTAGCAATCTAATCGCAACAGTAACGGCCATAAAAAGAACAAAATTTTCACAAACACCATCGCTCAATTTATATTTGCAAGTTAATAAAGTCAAAGTCATGACAGCGGGGAACAAAAGACGAGAAATAAAAACATTCATTCAGACTGGACCAAAATTAGAAGTCCTGAACACCAAAGCATTTGAACTAGGAAAAGACAGAAATATGTCACAAGACACCAAGAAAATCAATATTCCCATTTTTTCATCTCCATGCCATCTGGAGGGCTTCCTTCAACCTTCTTTGCACCAACTTCTTTCCAGTTCGTTGATAAAACTGTCCCATTTGACTCAACCTGTTACACCAGACAATATATTACTCCCAACCCGTCAAAAAGTTACATGCAAACACACGGGGAACCTGAATTGAGAGGACCCATTCAGCATGGGCAGAAAATCTTTCCAAGTTTCAATGATAATTGTTGTTCAAATAGAACAGCTACAAAAGAAAGT